ATAATTTCTAAAAATGCCACCTATTCTAGCAGCCTGTTAATTCAGCTTTCATCAGTATTGATATTAATCCAGTCAGGAGGTAGAGGCAGCCATCTCACCATAAAGATGAGTTGTTGCTTCGTACTCACAACCCAGAGTAAATGATTATCATTCCCATTAAAATAGTTTGGGCCATAGAAGAAATCACTTTATGCTTTCCCAATATGAATAATCTATTAATATAATTGTTGACATATTTCTCCAAATACTTAGAGTCATTCCTAGCACACCAAATGAACCAGCAAATAATGTATGGACATATTCCCAAGAAATGTTGTTTTAATAAACCAGGATTCCAAATTTATAGCATTCAGAAAAGCTTCCCTAATGTAAAAGGAGAGAAATATTAAGGATGTTACCAGCAGCTGATACACCTAAAATATATAGTATTTTTATACACATTTTTATATCTATTTTTGAGATATTGCACTTTAATGGAAGATATTTATGTGTTTTTTTTCAGGTACAACTAAAAAGATGAAAAATGGCAAAAGGATTGAAAAAAGATCAAATATGGAGCAAAAATAAAAAATGGTGCAAAAGTATTTTGACGTCTAAGCGCAAGGCACTAGATCCGACGCTTAAGCGTTTGTGAAACAGAGAAGGCCGCGCCTAAGCATCAGAAGACCCGTGCTTAAGCGCCAGTGGCAGTTACTAGACGAGTAAAATCAATTTTCACAAATTTTGAAGAGGTTAACATTTGAGACCCCTAGTGGCTAAAGAAGGTTGTTATAACCACTAGAAACGAAAATATGCTTAAAAGAATTGTGAAAGGAGGCATCCTTTGTAGAATACATTGAATTTTGACACCTTTCGAAGAGATACCAATACACCTCTTGAAAAAGTATAAGAAGAGAGGCTTGGGACTTTTTGAGGGGCTGCTTCTAGTCTCTTCAAGTGTTTCTCTTTTATTCTTCTTTGATGTGATTTCTTGGAGAGACTGTAAGACACCAATATCTACCTTTATTTTAGTTTTATTTTCTAGTTTTTGAGAGTTAAGAGTTTTGTAAGAAGAGAAGAGATTCAAAAGAACTTCAAGTGTTTGGTGGAATATTTGAGATAAGTTTCTATCTTTTTGTTACTACATTTAGTTTTAATTGAGACTTCTTGTTGGTTTAACAATGATGTGGTTTTGTTTTCTCCATGAATTCTGAGTAGTTTTATTTATCTTTTTCCTTAAAATGATAAATAAATAAAGTATTGGATAAAAGTTGTGGAGAGTATTGATCTTTAATGTTGGAAGGAATTGTGACGATTTAACTCCATATACTTCATTTATTTCTTGATTTGACCCATCGAGATGCTAAAATTTATTGCGAGAACATGTAAGAATTGGAATGGTATTATCCCAGTCAACAATTAGAAAGAATCACATGAGATTGTATGGATGAGAATGTAATTCATATAATTGAGTGCAAATAAATATGAAAATAATACTTGAATGGTATAGAGTTAGAGGAATTTAAAGTGACTGGTTAAAACCCCCTACTTGGTTTATTGTTTTAGGTATTAATACGCGATGTTAGCCCCCAGGTGGAGAGAATCGAGGGAACTCTAGAGTGAGAGCTAGTATCTTCCCTGCCTAGCCAGTCTTTAGAACTATTCAAACTTTAAATTAACTAATATTCATTATAGCATCTCTAGTAAGGACAAAGAATAATATTGCTCCTATTTGGCACAGCATAATTTTGCATACTTCCACAACATAATTCCTATACTTATTACTGATTTATGATAAGAAAAAATATATTTCATATTTAGTGCTTCTTATCTTACAAAAACTCAAGTTATCTTTAGAAGTTGTTATTATATTGTCAAAATATCAAAAATAAAGATCAATACTGATTTATGATTTAGATCAAGTGGTGGATCGAGTTTGGTCTAGTGCTAGGTTAGAGACTGCAGAAAAAGGGGACTTCGATTGGGGAATTAATTTTAGGTTGTGGGGAAGCTTTTGGGTGACTTATTTTGAAGTTTTGAAACTCTTTTTGACAAGGCAATGAAAATTCTTAGATTTTAGAGGAACAATTAGGGTTATGGAGGCAGTGGGAAGGGTTAGGAATGATAGGGATGAACTTCGCAAAGCTATGGGAACAATGCGAAGTCAATTTGGCAAGGTTTCTCTAAGGTTTGTGCACTTTTTTTTGGTCAAGGGGTGGTCAATTTATACGCTCATCCATGAGGCTTCAATTGGCCAGGGTTTGGGGGTGCAAAGATCCACTTAGGTGGAGCTATGATAGGGGCAATGGCCCAATGGGGTGATCCGTATGGATGGGCTCAATTTTGGGTTTCCCCTTTTGGTAGTTCTCTGTTTTGAGCTTGCCTCCAACCATGGTGGCTGGCCAAGGTATGGGAGGTCATTTCCAACTGTGGGAGGTCTGGGATGGGGATTGGTGAAGTCAATGTGGTGGTGTCATGTGTACATGGGTTGGATTTAAGGGGTAAGGTTTTGAATTAATTTTTAGGCACATTAGGTCCAAGTCATACATTTGGGTTGAGCTTACCCCTCAAGGGGGTTAGGCCTAATTTTGATCATAGGGGCTTGGGTGCTCAAGTCCCACTCATGAGCATTAGAGTTTAATTTTTGGTTTAAGTGAGTCATCAAAGTGATTAAGTGCTTTTGGGGCATCTTGAAAGTATTGTCTTCTCTTGCCATAAATGGCATGGTGGCTTGCATGAGGCTCATGCATAGCTCCTTAGCTTGCATATGGTTTGGGTGAAGTCAAATGGCTTGCATTATAGAAGTATTGGTTAATTTTGGTATTTTGAAAATATTTTGACATGAGTTTAAATGTAGTCATTTTAATCATGTGACCATCCATCTTATGTTTGATTAAATCTTCATGTTGTGAGGGGAGGGTCTACCCTTATCATGAGGACTTTTTATTTTAAGTTATTTTGGACATGGGTTGGGTTTAGTGGGCTTGAAGGTGAAGCTATGGGATTTGAATTTTAATTATTAATGGGCTTGGATTAATGTCATGGTATAATGAAATTCATGGTTAATTTGGTTTAGTTTCAGGAGTGAGAATTATGTGTATGGTGGTGATGTGATGTATGTGAATAATGACTCAACTTGAAATATAAATGTCTAGCATGAGCATAGTCTTGATAATCCATTGAATTTGCTACTGAGAAATCAATACAATCACGAGTCATATCTTCTAAAGGATCAATTGTACTTTTAGGTATAATTTGATTATTACTCCGAGGAACATCACTATAACTCTCAATTTTAATGTAGAGCGCTAGGTTTTGTTATTGAGCAACTAGTAGTGCACACTTTGTAGCCTCATCGTCTTCAATTGGAGTTGAGACATACACTTGAACGACATAAACTACACATAACACCAATAGGGTTGTCCTAGGACAACCACTCTTAGCATGAAGTACTCTACGACGTAGTTGTTCTAAGATTGACTGTGTTGGTATACACCGATGTCAACGATGACCCCCTACATAACTCATGTTATAATTATCAGAAGTAACTAATGCATTATTGTAATATAATATAAATGTTGAAACTTACCACTCATTTTTGATTAATGAACCTACATAATAATTTTTGAGTTAAGTCAAGCTAGTTGTGTAATATATAAGAACAAATGATTTTTTATTGTAGTTGAAGTTAGAAACTATGAATTTTCAAGTTATTATTATTGTTATCAACAACTTAATTTAATATGAAAATAACCAAGCTCTCCTTAAACTGACTTCTTCAGTACACTTCTATAAATATTCAAGTTTATGTCTAAAATTTCCTTAAATGTGTAATCAAAGTGAAATTTTAGGCTAAGAGAACTTCTAAGTGAGGAGAGGATATATGACCCATTACGTCCCAAGCTTTTCTTATGCTATTTATGTCTATTTGACAAATTTCTTTTGAGCCTTAAAACAACACATTGTTTAACATATTGAAGTTCACTAGTTGATATGGTCACTCAATTAGTAATGTTTACTAGCTATATGAATGTGTTCGCTGGTTGATCTAGTTATTATTTATATGATGAGATTTGAAACTAAAGTATCTTACATGACCAAATGCATATGTCTACACAGGTAAATAACACACATTAAATCATAAGTGTTTGTCTTTGTCCTTCATTGATTCATTGTGGTTGATGCACATTTTCTTGGATAGACACGTTGTGTCAATTAGTCCACCTTTTTAAAGTAACCATATTATTGCAATTATTCCTTAAATTATTTCAATTTATCACCTCTCCATTCCCACCCCCCTCTCCCCCCTCCCAATCAATAAATATGTTTACCAGCTATATTTGGTTTTTGATTTTCGGTTTTCGGTTCGGTTTTAATTTTCTTTCAACCGAACAAACCGAAAAACCACAATTTTATTAAAATATTTTATTATATTTTAATTTCACGTCAAATAAACTAAAAAAATAAAAAAATTTATTATATGTAACATTCTATTGAAATAAATAGAGCACTCATGAAATTAAATCGATATTATGTAGGCAGGATATGTAATTCATAATGCTCGTTTTAGCTAAACTCCAATCAATAATTAAACTTCGGTTTGTCCATAATCGAAACATTTAAATCAAAATAAAATTTAATTTGGTCATTTTAGTTTTATCAAAATATAAATTGGTTTGGTTTTCTGGATTCTAGACTTTGGCTAAAATTGATTTGTCCAATTTTAAAATCGAACCATCCAAACCGACTGAATGCTCACCCCAACCCTATCATAAACTTCATATTTTTGAGTTATCTCAAAACTCTATAGAAGAAATCATGTCATCCCAAAAAAATATACAAAGGAGACACCAAGCACAAGGGGCTTTTATTTATTAATTATTAATTATTATATAGTAACCTAAAAATTTATCTAGTTATAATTATACTGATAATATTTTAGTTAATTATTAATTATTAATCAAACAATTAACTTTCAATAAAATTAAATTAAATATCCACTCCTTCCCTCTCTCCCCGAAACCCTCGCCGGTATCCCTTCGCTTCGCCTTCGTGACAACAAAACACAAAACCCTTCTTCTACCCCTTCCCACCGTTTTCTCCTTTCCCGCGAACAGCACCTGCCACCGAGCTCTCGAACACCCTAATCCTCACGATTACTTTTTAGCCGGAGGAGATGAATAAGCAGAAGTTTAAGAATCCTACTCGAATCAGAGGGGGAAAGAGGAAGTCTAGACCCATCTCGAATGGCGATGTTTCTTTCTTCGAATATGACGCGAAGCGACGGCGCAAGGGAGATGCGGCCTTCAAGGACAAAGAGGAAATCGAGAGCTTACCTAGTGATGAATCTGAGGCTGAGGTTGCGGGTGGAGAGGATCAAGGGGAGGAGCCTGAGGAGACTGCGGCAGAAACGAGATTCCGGATGGCAAGGGAGCATCTTGAAAGGATTAGAGCTGCGGCTAAGAAGCTTGAAGAAGAGGAGGGTGGAGGAGAGGGTGATGAGATGAATATGGAGGAGAGGGAAGGGAGGAGGGACTCGCTTGTCGCCGAGTTACTGCAGAAGGATCAGTTGGAGGCAAGTGGCCGTATTAGACGGTTGATAGCTTCAAGGTACCAACCACATTATTTTCATCTTGCAAAATTTTTCTCTGTCTGCAATCGATATGTTTTTTTTGAGAAGGATTTGTTATTTATTTCATCTACAATACTTAATTATCTTACAACTGTTATAATGCGGTTAATGTGCATAAATGATTTAGATTTTATTTGTTGCTTTTAAATGCATATGATTTACCATTTCAAATTGCAGTTATGAAAACTAAGTCGAGCTTATTGTTCTCTTGTGGCAACCTAGGGTTTTGAAACCTGAACCTGAGGATGGGTTCAAAGTGCTAGTGAAGCACCGGCTGTCTGTAACTGCAGTGGGTTTAGCTGAAGATGATATTAGGGGGTTTTCAGCTTCTAAAGATGGAACCATTTTGCATTGGGATGTTGAAAGTGGAAAACATGAGAAGTATTTATGGCCTAATGAGGATGTGCTGATTTCACACCATGCAAGAGCTCCTCAAAAGCCAACATCGAAGAGAAGTAAGAATGTCTTAACTTTGGCCGTCAGCTCAGATGGCCGATATCTGGCTTCCGGAGGTTTAGATCGGGATATACATCTGTGGGATACTCGCACACGTGAGCACATTCAGGTCATCTTGGTCTTGCTGTGATGTCTAAGTATAAACTCACTTTCTATAATATCATTACTATATGATTTAGTTTGAAATTCTGTGTTTATATTCCTTATATTTGAAACCAGAATATAAAGTCTTTCTGTAAGCCTTAAACTATTCATAATTGTAAATCATCTATCTATTCAGGCTAATTTCCATGCAGGTTAGCTTCTTCTGTTAATGACATTCATTTATATGGATTGCTAGAAATCGTATCAATTTAATATTGATGAAGAATTAGTTCTTAATTCATTGTTGCTATCTTTAAATGTAATCACCTTGATCAAGTATGACCTAATGAAAAAACAAATTAGTTTATTGGTTATTGATTATGTGATTTGTACTTTTTGGTCTTTAATCTTTGCTATATTTAACAGGCATTCCATGGTCATAGAGGGCCGGTATCTTGTCTTACTTTCAGGCTGGGAACTCCACAACTTTTTTCTGGTTCCTTTGACCGAACAATCAAGCTTTGGAATGTAGAGGATAGAACTCACATGGACAATCTTTTTGGTCATCAAAGTGAAGTGTTGAATATTGATTGTTTGCATAAAGAGCGACTTCTAACAGTTAGCCGGGATCGGACTATGCGATTGTGGAAGGTTTGTCCTAATTCTCACAATAAGTGAAATATTTGTTTTATATTTGGTACCTCTGATTTTTCTAGAGATTTGCTAGAAGAAAAAAACCCCAATTTCCTTGTGTGAAGTTCTGGTTTTTAATCATCTTTAAGCATATGCTTAATTGTCAGGAAATCATGTTCTTTTCTCCCATTGCCATATGTGATGCAGATATGGATGGAAAGACTTGTTCAATAGTGCTGCAAGTGTTGCTCTAGTTTTTTTTTTCTCATACTTGAGTAGGCTTGTAGAATCTAGCAGCCGTACAAAATAGAATTGCTCAAAATTATAGGCAGCCTTCACAATGTGATTTAGTAGATCGAGGGATGATTCTTTTGGGTAGCACATTGTCCCATGGGTGAACAATCCTATCATTATAGATTTTTATGTGGTATTTCAATCTTTTGTTTTGCTGACCATATTACAAAGTTTCCTTTTTCAAATCTCTATGATAGATTGGGTCCTTTGACATTTTCTTTGAAGGTAGGATTGAACAGTCCAAGGAACCATTTCCCAAGAACATAAGTTGCTATGTGCAGATTTAAATCAAAAGCTTACTGTTTGGATGGAAGGACTCACTTGAAAAGCAATGGCGATGGAACTTTAGTTTGCTGAAATTATTTTTAGGCAAATGCCATTACCAGACTTTCTATTGATCAAGACAATATCTATTGACACCATTAGCTTTCTTTAATAACAGATTTTAAAAAATCTCCGAAATCATGATTTTTAGCAAAAGAAAATTTGAAATCTGAGAGTAATTCCTCGCTGAATTTTCAGGATATTTATGTACATTTACATTTAAAACTGTGAGGGAACTATAATAAATAAGGAACTAATTAAAGTTGTGTACATATGGAAGAAGTTAATGTTGTTAGATTAAAAACCAGCGATAAATCAATCATCAGAAAGCTGTACACTTGAAGTCAATCACATGAAATCATATGGGTCCTTATTGCTAGACTAAGCAGAGTGGAAATGCAGTTAACAGCATGGATTTATGAATTAATTTTGCTTAGGCATGAATTTAACATCTATTACCTGGAGATGGGACTATGGGTGGAGGACCAAAAGCATGGATTTTGGCGTCCAATTCCTAGTCTTGATCATGGGAGGAGCAACCGATACAAAAGTTCTTTGAAGAATTTAATATTCAAGTGGTTTTATTTATTTTTTTAGCATATATGTGAAATAAATACTCTTTCTAGATTTTACACAATCCCTTTTTAAGTCTGAGAATGTATATTTATCATTTCTAATTTGCTCAACATTTTTTCGAATGCTCCTTTGTTTAGGATTTTTGTGAAATTATCCATTTGTTGTAAGGTACTGGGAATATTTGTCCCTCGTCGATCTCTTATTATTAATGACCAATCAATTCTTACATGCTTCATATTGTTGTGTTGAACAAGATCATTCACAATTTTGATTATGGATTTGATATCATTATAGAGGTTGTATGAGATATATTATGTATTTGTAAATCTTTCATTAATCTTTCTAGCCAGATAACTTCACATACTACATGTGTAATGGCACATTATTCTAGTTTAGCACTCCTTTTAGCTACCTTTGTTCCTTCTTTTTCTTCTAGTGCTAAAATTTCCACATAAATTTGAGCAAAAAATTAGATGGATTTATTATTCTCACATCCTGCCTAATTTGCATTAGCATATACCTTTATGTTCCTTATTTTTTCTTTGTGGAACTTCTAAATTTCTTCATTGACTTCAGGCTATCTCAATATGTGATTCACATGATCTAATTGCTTTTGAGTACGGAATGCATTGGTTGACTCACCACACTTACATATGCAACTTTTGGTCGAATCAGTTATAAGTAAACGTGCCTTCCAACTGACTGCTATTATTTTTCTTTATCAATAGTTGGTTCATATTCATTTTTTTCTTCCAATACTTTCCTAATGCTGTTACCGTAGGTTTACTTCCTTATTTTTCATTCTCTTTGCGCATATCAAGGGTGTATCTCATTTGGGACATAAAAAAAGTTCTAGCAATTTCCATTCTAAGGAAATGTTAAAGTTTTCCAAAATATTTTACCTCAAAATCTCTTTTTCATTTTCTTTTAATTTATTTATGTCATGGATATTATTACCTTTAATCACCATATCATCTAAGTATACGACCTTGTTTGTATCCCAACTTAGTTACGGTGGAACTAAACCTTGTGAACCAAGTCTGTGGTAATTGTTTTACCCGATAGAAGGGATAGAAGATTTTTTTTTTTAAAACTTATAAACTTCTTCTTTTGTCTTTTGGTTGAAATCTTGGAGAAATCTTCATGCATACTTGTTCTTTTAGTTATACTTTTAAGAATGCATTGAGGATAATAAGCCTAGAATAGTATTTAGTTTTGTGATTGGAGCAAATGCCCCTTGTAGTTTATATCATTACTTTGAGTGGAATATTGAGTTACTAACTTTGTTTTGTATTTGTCAATATCACCCGTGGCTTTACATTTTATAGTAAATACCCACTTATTTCTGAAATATAGATAGTATCCCAAGTGCCATATTCTTAAGGGATTTCGTTTATTTGAAAACATGTGTACCATGGAATTTGAATTGTCTTCTTCTTGTTGTTGTTGAATTTGAAGTGTCTTATTATATACATTACAAATGGGGGCACAAGACTAGATTCTTGTGCATATTTAGAATTATTGCTAGGCTTTGTTGGTTTCAAAATTACTCTTCTCCTTAGCCTTAATAATAATATATGTATTAAAACCTCTAAAACGAGCAACTTTTAAATCATATAATCAAGTTCTATCTAAATATAACATGTGCAATGTCCATGGAGAACTAATCATACTAAATTTGATAGTATATTTGAAGTTTAGGAGGAATTTTTTTAGAGGAAAAACTCTAAAATCTTCTCATTAAATTAGTACAAACAAATAACAATAATATACAACTTAGACTAACCCTCATACAATTTGAGAAAAAAATCAAATCATCATGATAAGAAGGAAAGAAATAGAAACAAAATAATGGATAATCAAGGGAGAATAATTTCTCCCCTTAAAATGTAGTTGCAGACCCAAAGTTTCCTAAACTGTGGGCAAGCCCATGTGTTCCATAGTTATATGCATAGTAACACTTCCCCTCAAGTTGGGTTGTATATGTAATACATTCTGAAGAGTTGTGCCGATGAAGTGACTTGGTAAGAATGTCAGCAATCTGATACTGAAATGGGATATAGCTTAGCTGGAAAACCCCCGCATTGATCTTTTTCGAGATGAAGTGCTTGTCAAATCCCTATATGCTTGGTTCGATCATGTACCAAATTTTTTGAAATATTGATGATTGATTAACTATCATTGACATCTTAATAGTGCTTTTGTTCTCTATGTGTAGTTCCACAAATAATTTCTTTAGCCGCATCCCTTCATAAATTTCAAGGCCGGGCGCGATACTTAGATTCTGCACTACTTGCCACCACAACTTGTTTTTTTACTTCTCTAAGTAATTAGGTTATCATATATAAATGAATAATAATTCGAGGCAAATCTTCTGTTAGTCAATTCTTCCGCTCAACTAGCAGCAATATAGATTTCAATGTTACGGTTCTCAGTTCTCTTGAATATCAATCCATGTTGTGGAGTTATCTTTAGATACCTCAAGATTCAAAAGATCTCTTTTAAATGATTTTCATTTGGATCGTTCATATGTTGGCTCACTACACTAAAAAAAAAATAATGTCAGGTTTTGTAAATGATAAATAAATAAGTTTTCCCATAAGTATGTGATGCCTCTTTTTTTCAACCAGTGTTATCCTCTTCATTTGATGCTTGTCGATTGAGATTCATAGGAGCATTTGTTGGTTTGCACTCCAACATTTCTATCTCCTTTAATAAGTTACAAATATCTTTTCTTTAGGATATGAAAATGTCTTCTTTAGATCAAGCTACTTTCTTTCTCAGAAAGTATCTTAAAGATCCAAGATTTTCGATCTCAAACTCAGAAGCCTTTATTCTTTTGATTGTTTCAAGTTCTCTTATGTCATTGTTTGTAAAATAATGTTATCTACATATACAATAAAGACGGCTATCATACCTTCTTGTTTTGATTTCATAATGGAAGTGTGATCAGCCTAACAATGATAGTACTTATCGGTAAGAATAGTTTTGATAAACCTTTCAAATCATATTTGGGGAGATTGTTTCAATTCATACAATGATTTCATTAGTTTGCATACTAGCTGATTATTTGTGTTGTTCTTTAATCCTAGAGGTATCTCCATATATAGTTCTTTCTCAAGATTTCATTAAGAAATGTATTTTTAATGTCTAGCTAATGTAAAGGCCAATCCTGGTTGACAACCAATGACAATCATATTCTTACCTTGTTGAGTTTTGTCACTTTTGGAAATGTTTTCGGATATTCAATAATATAGGACTGAGTGCACTCTTTTGCTACAAATCTAGCCTTGAACCTCTCTATTGTTTAATCTGTTTTGTATTTAACGTTGAATACTCATTTGCACACTACAATTTTTTTCTCAGATGACAGAGTTGTTATGATCTAGGTATCATTCTTTTAGGGGCACGAATCTCTTCTTTCACAATCTTTTCCCAAACAAGGATAGATAATAGCTCTTTTATTAAATTTGGGACATGCATATCTAAGTTCTGAATAAAATATTTGTAAGAGGATGGTATTTTTTTCATAGGTTACAAATTCTTCTATCGGGTGTTTTGTGCATTCTTGTGCTCAATTCTCTTAGTTCTCATGATATGTGGACCCAACCTCTGTGGGAATATTTGATGTGTGTGGAGTTAGTTTAGATGATTTTGCATTCCAGATTTAACATATTGTCCCTTTCACCCTCACCATGTTTTTTTTTTTTGGTGTACACACAAAGTTCTTAGTTCTTGGTGGAGCTTTGAGAGGATTTGGGTTTTGTTTGGGACCGCTGCAGCTAGGGGTGTAACGAGCCGAACACGAGCAAGCCCAGGCCCTG